AGAATTTGAAGTCGCGAAATTTTGTACAATTTTACTTTCCTTTTTTGATTTTTTTTATGTAACCAGAAGTTTGTAGCATAATTTTCATTTTCAAGTTTTTCAAATTTCAATGAATCTAAAATTCTTTTTTTTTTTTTCTAATGTAACCAAAAGTGCATATAGTATAATTTTCATTCTCTGGGTTTTCAAATGCAAATGGCATGAATTTCCCTTTTTATTTTACATGTTCAAGAACTTCGAGTATCATATATCTCCCAAAAAAATCATGTATTAGTATGAATGCATCGGTTTTATTTTCAGATCAATTTTATATTGACCCACAATTTACTCAAAAAAAACAACACCAAATAGTGCAAATGAAGTTCATTTTTTCGTAGCCGTCATCCTGCCAAGTGATCACCACAACCCATCTATAAATATATGGCAGATGATGATAATGAAAAATCATTCTCCTGCTAGAAAGTTAGGAAGGCCCCGACCTCCATGTCTTGAGAAACAGTCATTATCTAGAGAGATAGCCAGGATGCTTCACAATTCTCTATCCTCTCCACAATAGGAGCAAGATGAGTTTCCTCTATCGATAGGTTCACTCATCGGTGGTTGTCTCAAGGCTCAAAGGACGCTTTGCCCTATCATATGAATCAAAATGAAATAATTTTTATTCATTAACGAATCAAACAAATAAAGATGCAGACAATTGTAACTCTATTCTGCTAGAAATTTTAGGTAATAGCTCCTAACTTTTTGATACTTGCATAAGGTTAAAAAAAGTTTAATAAATACAAATCCTAAATTCAATTGTGAGTTAGGCATGAAGCAAAAAATCCAATTTTCTTTCTTTATATAGAGATTTCAGGCTTGCATCTTAGACCAACTTTATGGTGAAAATAACAAACAATTTGAGATTCCTAAAATACAAAATTTGAGTCCAAATTATGCAATTTTTATAATTTATTTTTTTGAAAGTTACTTCATATATTAAAATTTAAGAAAATGTTTACAAGTTTAAGCCCGCAGCTATAGAGGCCTTAGCCATTTTGTGAACATTTTCAACAATAAATCTACCAACTTTTGTGAAATTACAATATGGGATCACTTGAAAAAGAGTCTTGATGTCTTTGAGAAGGCCATTAACATGGTAAGGAATCTTTCCACTCTTTTCTATGGCATCTGCTATGATCTTGCTGTCAGTCTGCACTTGACAATGAAGTTATGCCTTTGTCGATGCATGTTTGCAAACCCATTAGACACGCCCTCGCTTCTGCCATGATCGGGGAAGATGAGTAAAATGTTCGGTGACCGTGTGCTACATAAATTCCTGTTGATGTTAAGATTTCCCATGTTGCGGCTCCTTTTTTCTGTGGGTCTTGAAAAGCTCCATCGACTTTAACTATGAAATCATATTGAGATTGTGCTTCACTCAGAGTCTGTAATTGGTGTACTTCATATGCAATTTCTATAATTTTCAAATAGTCATGGTGGCCAACAGATTAATCAATCAAATAAAAGAAATGCAAAATTCGTTCTCATAGCAAAAAGGGGGAGGGGGGAGGAACCTGTACATTTGTTGAGCAACAATAAAAAAAAACATGCCTCACATTTAAGATATAATGCATGATCAAGAATTAATAATTCTTATTTGATAGCAAAATTTTGTTCCCTGAAATACCCATACAAATTAGTTATAATATATAGACTAAAGAAACTGCATAAGAATACTCAAGTCAGCCATAAACGATTCTTCATTTGCTCCCGTCAATCCTTATCTTGACACTTCAAGTAAGAAATCAAACCATCAGAGTAATCATAATCAGGAAGCCTCTTTTTTCAGCTCAAAAAATAAAAAATTTCATGAACTATTAACCAAACACAACAATGAAACAAAATTACAAAAAGATGAGAGCGAAAAGGAACTTTGATCGATTGGAAAAATCAAAAAAAAGATTCAAATGAAAGAACGGTGTAAAGAGAAACAAATAAAAAAAGTGTGTATGCATGGTTGCTACAGTACTGAAGTCATCTCCTTTTAAGGAAAGGGTATAGATTTGTATAAAATAGTTTTAATCGATTATCCACCTTTATTATGGGATAAGATTACAAACTGAAATTTTCAATAAACTCAATCTACAAATTTGGGTGGTATATTCCACATTAAAAGCCACAAATTTTAGTCATCATATTTGATAATTTGAAAAAAAATATTAGTGATTAAATCAATTTTGATTTCAATTGCTATATTATAATCTAGATAATATTAGGGATTCTTGAGATTTTAAACACTAAAAATTGAATTTAACTTCAAAATTGTGATATGATATAAAGGGATTGATCTTATCTTTCTATTTAGATTTGGTGAATCAAATCATCGAAAGAAAAAATATAACCATTGACAGAAAAATAGTAAACGTGTTCTTTTCACTTTTTTCTCCCCTTTCTAATAAATCAAAAAATGAACAAAATTACTAGTCCTACATGGCAAGTGGAAAACTATCTCTGTTTCCTCTCTCTAGGTTTTCTATTATTAAGTTATATAGATGATATTTGACGAATTACAACATTGTGGGACAACTGATACTATACTACCTCCTTCTAAATTCAAAAACTAATTAAGTTATAATTTGTAAAATAAGTGCAAAAACTTTGCAACAAACCAATCTCACTATAGCAAGAAACGTTACCTGGTCGAAACCAAATTAACCAAACAAACAAGAAGGCAATCAATCAATCTTTAGTCATATATACTCTTTCTGTCCAAAATTTACTGTTTTTTTAGGTTTATTTTTAATATAATTTGAACTGAACATATAGATCAAATTGGATAATTATTTTAAAACGAAAATAGTACTAGTCATGATGGTTTAGCGAAGCCATTATGAGCAACCAAAAACACAGCGATTTATTGAAATGGGGACTTATTAGGAAGAAATGAAATCATGTGTGGGCAATTTCGGCTATTACGTGATGTATAAATACACTCCCTTGCGTGTTCTTTGGGGTAGATGTCACTCAAAGATTCTGAAGGCCCTCCAAGATCCAGATTAGTTAACAAAAATGTGGGGAAAAAAAATAAGATTTTTTTTTTTTTTTGGGTTAAAAAAAGAATAAGAATACGATAAGTTTGAAAAATGGCTGAAAAAGAGAGAGAGAATATGATGTCTTTCTTTTTTAGCTTAGCTTATCAGGTAATCAACCCTAGGAAAAGAGAATATTCCAGTCTTCCAGGCTACCACCCCCACTAGGAAGAGTGGCCCCACTTGGGTAGTCAAAATGTCGGACTTTCATTGGTTGTTTAACATACACGCTCTTACTCAAAAGATAACGTTGTTTCCGTTTTGATGACCCTTTGCGAAACTGAAAAGCCGTCGTCAATTTTTATAAACGGCGGCAATTAAAACTGCCCCTACCAAATTCCACGCTCCTTCCCGGATGCTTGTCTCCCACGCTCTCTTTTTTGGGAAGGAAGATTCTATTTCCAATGCTTTTGCCTCCCCCCTCCTAGATTCTTCTTCTTCTTCTTGTTCAGGTCCATTTATAAAAATCAAAGTATATTCCTTTGGAACTTTGAATAAAGAGGGAATCATTTTCATATAATATCACCACTAGCCCATGATTTTTGTTGATCTACTTACTCTTGCCCCTTGAGTATTTTTTACATCTTATTCTATGGACATTGTTTATTTTAATCTTTTAAAAAAGATTAGGAATAAACTTTGTATGTGTAGAATATGCTAGCTTACTGGTAAATTGAAGTTATTATCTTTTAAAATCGAGAGTTTCTGGATTTTATTATTCGAACTGAAGATACAAACTTTAACTGATAAAATATGCATACATTCATTTTACCCTTGTTAGATATACTTAATATCGCATAAAAATTGAAATTGTCGTTTCATTCAATGTGTTTTAGATTGTTGCGATCGTGATAATATCTTTTCAACGACTTACTGAGAATTTAACCGTCGACTATATTATGAGACGTCAGATGTTGACTGAGTAATGAAAGGTATATTATTTTTATCTCCCAATGTTCATGTTTCTACATTGATACCCTAGTAAGCTCAGATTGATAAACCTCCTTTGTTGCATATATGTTTGATGAAATTGCACTTATTATGAAGGTTTCCAACTTAAAAGCATGTAGTATGCAATTAACAAATCAATGGACTTGTTTCATTGTTTGGAGGAGGTCGCATTTTCGTCCCATCGTATTACTTTTCATTTCTTTTTCATTGAGTAGTTGAGAAGATATAAATGCATGCCTTGCTTTACTCATCATCAAATTACATCACGAGATTTGTGTTTGCAATGAACTGATGATATTGGATGACTTGGAGAACATTCATCAACAAAATTCAACAGGATAAGTTGTAACCGAAAGAACTTAAAAGGAGTTAAGTACCAAAGTTGAACACTCAAAGCTTTTGCATTAATTATCCATTGAAGGCCAAATTCAGTGAGGATACTTTTATTTTTCGTGTAACAAATCATACAACGTCTCTAAACTGTAACATATTATTATCTCCTATAATTACATATAAACCTTTCAGTTATCAGTTATTATTGTTACCTCATTTGGAGATTAATAGTTTTTACCAGATTTGCATTTTATTGCTAAAGAAAATTTGGAGTTATAGACTGAAAACAAGAAAAGAAACTTCTCCCCTCACTTTCATTTTATTAGTACAATATCTTGAATTACAACATTACACAACATAGTAATGATAAGATTTCGGGAGGAAGAAAATTCTTCTAATAAGAATATAAGATACATGTAACTTTTGTCTTTTTTATTTTATTTTAAGGATATGATATAAAAAATCAGGCCTAAATCAAACGTCACTCTTAACTTTTGGGGCAAAATTAGAAAGGGTAACAGGATAGTACAATTGCCCTCTGGCCTCTGTAATCTTCTTGCTTTGAGGTCTTCGATCTTATCTACTACGGTGTACTACCTATATACACATGTATTTTGGGGGTGGTTATGTCAATATTGTCAATATCGTCATTGCCAGCCCATATTCAAGAATCACACCCTCGAATATTCAATTTCAAAAACTCCCCCTTCCATTCCTTCCCTTTCTCTCTCACACACTCACACACTCCTCATGAATTCATAATCAAAAGATTCGTTTCGTACGCGACGGCCCGACCGCGACACCACACACACATACACACACTTTCTCTCTCTAAGACGCTAATTTCTCCGATGAACAGTTGAACGTTGTTAAGCCAAGGAAAACAAAATAAAATTAATTAGTATTAATAATACTCCAAATCTCCAATCCCTTGGTCCCAAAAAAATCTACCTAACCTTCTCCTGATCAACTTTTAATCTCATCCTTTTGTTCAATCAAAGATTAAAACTTTTGATTAGTGATATTATTAACGTATGGACACACAATTTGGGTTGTTTTTATTGTCTTGTGAACCAAGTTTATTCCTTTTTTTGATTCTATAGAGATCCCTTTATTCCTTATTTCCCATCCGGATCTCTCTATGCTATGGTGTGACTAACCAAACCTCTCCCCAAATTTTTTTATTATCAACCATCCATCCTCTTCTGTGCTTCTTTCTCTTTCTCTCTTCTCTCTCCTTAAAACCTTCCATCCCTGTCAAAAAGGTTTATATATATTTCATTTCCTGCCTAAGTCAATCATCTCAGACAGGACAGGGGTACTATAAATTGGAGCTTAGAAATTTTATATAAAGGAGGGAGAAAAGAATTAGAAGAGAGAAAAAAAAAAAAGATAGGAACTTCACATCAATATGACTATCATGAATTTGATCAACCACCACCAACTTCACAAAAACCATAATCATCCTCTTAATGGTAGTGGTGGTGGCTGCAGTGATTACAACGACAAAATGCAGAGAACCCAAGATTATGTTGAGGCTTTGGAGGAAGAACGTAAGAAGATTCTTGTTTTCCAGCGTGAGCTTCCCCTTTGTCTTGAACTTGTTACTCAAGGTAAAAAAAAAAAAAACCCATCTTTTTGTTTTTTTATCCGCTTGTTTGTTTGCTAGCTTCTGAATTTCCTTGATGAAATGTCTGGTTATTTTGATTTAATTTTACTTTCCTTTTTCATTTTTGTTATCAGCTATTGAAACATGCAAACAGCAATTATGTGGGACGATTAGCGAGTATAATTTTCATGCCGATAATTGTTCGGAGCAGACCTCAACTGAAGGCCCTGTTTTGGAAGAATTTATTCCTCTGAAGAGGACGTTGTCTTCTGATGATGATGAAGAAGATGAGGAACAATCTCATAAGGCCAAGAAGAGTAACACCAGCAATGGTAATGAAAAGGCGTCATCTAATAAGAAGTCAGATTGGCTTAGATCTGTTCAGCTATGGAATCAGACCCCAGATCCACCTAAGAATGAGGTATTAAATTCTTGTTTCACCAATTTTTGATCTGGGTTTTTCTGGGATTTTGTTGAATCTCGACAAAGATGTAATCTTTCTGTTTTTGTTTTTGTTTAGGATTCACCAAAAAAGGCCTCGGTTGTGGAGGTGAAGAGAAATGGAAGCGGTGGAGCTTTTCATCCATTTAAGAAAGAAAAGAGTGTTGGGCCTAATAATGCTACCACAAAATCATCTGAAGAGGCCCAAAAGGTCTGCGATCGGGCTGCTGTCCCGGCGGCTGAAGCTAGTTCAACGGCGGAGACAGGCGGCGCCGGCGCCGGCGGGAGTGGAAATGCAGGAAACAACAACAACAACAAGAAGGAAGAAAAAGAAGGGCAATCTTCTTCTGGAAGGAAATCAAGAAGGTGTTGGTCACCTGAACTTCACAAACGATTCTTGTTAGCCCTTCAACAACTCGGTGGTGCACATGGTACGAATGAGTAATTTTCGTTTGGCTTCGAGGTCTCGTTCGTAAATTCACATTCGGAAAATTCTTCTGTTCTGTTTCTGACTGTATTTTTGTCTGGATTTTTTATTTTTGATCTTTTTCCAGTCGCCACACCTAAACAAATTAGGGAGTTAATGAAGGTGGATGGGCTCACCAATGACGAAGTCAAAAGCCATTTACAGGTTCGTTATTGCAACCTTATCTTTCTATTCTTCTTCCTTTCTCTCCGAATTTCCTCTTCCCTTTTTAGAGGCATTATAATTAATGGAGTAGCTATTTAAACACATTGTAAGACAGATTGAAACAAGTTTTGTAACGGTCCACCTAGTATTTTTATCTTTTTAGCCACTATTCACATACTGGGTAGCAGAATCTCATTATAAACGTTACTTTTTACGTCTCAAAATAAAAGAAGATAGAAATAGTCGTGTTTGTTAAAATGTCTCTTTTTGAGGGTCGGAGGGAGTAATTTTGGTAGTGGAGCATCTCTTATTGTGAGGAGAGATATCAATTGAGAGCAAAAGGATATCCTTGAGTTCAAAATGTTCCTTCACGCTAAAGAAGAATCATCAGCTGCTTTAATTTTGGTCTCAATTTGGGATGTAACCGATCTTTTTATTAGCTTTATTCTAGCTTTTTTCTCCTAGGCCATGTCTTGTACTCCTTCCATTCCATTTTAATAGCATCACTTCTCATTTTGGGATGTTTCAAAACTTAGTCTAATTTCTGACAATTTATTAACGTTTTCTATAAACTCTTTAATATATCCTTTCCACTTTTACTGAAATCAAGAACATTTAATTAATTTCAATTATTACTCTCTCATATTAACTAATAACTCATTAATCATTAATAAGGATGTGGTAGGAATTTTATTTAAAATTAACTATACAAACTATATTACTCATTTTTTTCTTAGTCTTCGCGTATATCTAAGTGGGTGTATTGAATTGGAATGGAAAGAGTAACATTTTTAGACAATATTTCTTGTAGTCCAATTTTTCAAACTTGCACTTGTAGTGGACCTACAAAGGCTTCGTAAATGAATTAATCTGTTTCACTATTATGTATCAATCGTGTCAGTTTCATAGTTACATATGGATGTCTAAAATCTTTTTTATTGATTGATGATTGCAGAAATACCGATTGCATAATAGAAGACCTAGTCCATCTATGCACAACAATAACAATCCACAGGCGCCACAGTTTGTTGTGGTAGGGGGAATATGGGTTCCACCACCAGAATATGCTGCAATGGCTACAACCACCACCGGTTCCGGTGAAGCCTCGGGCGGAGCCAACTCCAACGGAATTTATGCCCCAATAGCCACATTACCTCCTCCCTTCCGAGATCCATCTACATCGGGAAAGCAAAGGCAACAACATAAGCAATCGCAAGATGATCATCACGACTGTGGCAGTCACAGTGGTGGTGATCAGGTACATTCTAACTCTCCGGCCTCCTCTTCCGCCACCGATACCACCACCACCTCGCCAAACTACTGATCCCTTTTGTGAAAAAAGTGTAGAAAAATTTTGTTACAGGAGGACATCCATCCAGCTTGTAAACTTTGTAGTCATATCATCATATACAACAAGAGGGAATATAGAGTTGTTTCTGTGCTTCTTTAGCTTCTCTGCTTAATTTTTTTTTTTTTGACTGTATTTCTCATCTTGTCATTTTGTGAAGAACCTCTCGAATAATTCTAAATTGACAGTGACAGTATAATTTAAGCCAAGCATCAACATTTATGCTCCCATTGCCCTGGATGTTAAATTAAGAACAGAAAAAACCAAAATCATGATCAATATTATAGATTTATCATTTGAATAGTCCCTTTCTTGGGTTGTCGATTTTTCAATTTACGGTGCAATGGCAATAGTTTATACCAAAGATTTTTCCCTTCCCACCTGGTAAGGAGTAAGGAGTTCGGAGTTCATTTCTTCATAATATTTTTTTTTTTTACTGAATTACATTTCCATGAATTGCAAAGACATTTTCTCACTATTAGTTCGGATGGGAGTGTAATTTATGCCTCGAATAGTTCAATAATTTCACATGCAAGTTGAATTCACCCTTGTACGAATTAGGAGTGATGTTAAAGCATCGAGTCATGGAGGATAATAATGAATGCACCTTTTACGTATGTTCATACAAACGAATAATTGAAGGTAAAATTCAAGAAGGTATAACATATATAGGAATGCACACTTCTTCAAAGGGGAAGAAAAAAAAAATTTCGTCCCAAAATGAATATCTAGTTTGTATTTTCATTTTTAGTATAAACTGATTAAAAGTAAAAATTTCTAAAATAGATAATAAATTTTGGACAAAGGGAGTACGTGGTTCATTGTATGAGTAATTTAACAAGAAATGTCATTTCCTGTAATGAAGTGTAATTGTTCGGGGAGCTGATATTTCAAAGACCTTATGAAATTAGGAGTGGAAGAATTGGATGGGACGGTCAAAATCTTGTTGAAACAAGGAGAAAAAAAAGTATGTACAAAGGAAACCTATGGGAAATATTTTTGCCTCATTGTAAGTTTAACCAAGGATGGGGAAAAGGGTGATCCCACTGCCGAGACGTATCATTGCAAAGTATGGATAATGTTAGGTAAGCATCGTGATCAATACTCCTCCATTCATGATCATCTTCTGATTTGGTTACAATTAGCTTCAACAATCTTCACTTTTTTATAACTGTTGAAAAAGGCCAACAGTAAGATGCTAGAAATTGGAATGGAACCCCAACACGAAATAAAAAAATAATAATAATAATCCCACTTCGTATCAACTAGTAAGTATTTTCTCGTCTCGAAATTATTGTCCAATTTGAGTTTTTATTTTTAATTTGAATTAAAAGTAAAAATCCAAACTGAACAATAATTTGAAGACGGAGGGAGTATTTTTTTGGTATGGTAAAATAAAATAACCAATCAACTTTGTTAGATACTTATAAATTCTTGCTTCATTCTGGGTGGAATTCGGTTTATGAATCTCTAAAATATCAATTTAGATTCTGCATTTTTCAGGAGTTATAAAGACAAGGACTAATGTAGTAGCACTACACTACTATGTACTAATCATTTTTTTTTTTGTCAATCTGATTCATTTGCTATTTACTTTGGTGGATAGGCTTTGATGGAGTCGGTACGACACGGGACACCACTTGATGTCTAGACTATTAGAGTATATTCTCTTCAACTAACGACATTGAGAACAAGTGGTAATGGCGAACATATCCTATATTTTGGATGACTTTTTTCCCATCTTTTGATTCTTTTCTCCCTCTGATTAGTAAAAACTAAAAAAGAACATAATACACTTTGTTCCCAGCAAAATGGCAATTAGCTTGGAGAGGAACTGTATATAATTATTAGTACACCATGTCCCGTAGATGGTTTCTCTTTGTTAAGTTTGACAAAAGTGAATAGCGGAATTAGCCCTCTTAATCAAGGCAAGCATCCTTTGTATATAGCTACTTTCAATAGTCAAAATTGGTTGTGCAGAAATAGTAGTCTCAGCGTAAATTTTGCAATGTGCTGTTCAATAGTGTAATTAGTAGAGTGAAATTAAAGACGTATTGTGGATAATAAGAACGCAAAAATCAAAGTCATGTTCCTTACAAATTAATGAATCATGTTAACGATGATAGTTGAATATGCTGGCACAGTATATTACCAAGAGAAGATAGATTAGAAGGACTATTCGTTTTAGATTCTTCGTTCCATGCCTTATAAGTACTCCGTACATATCTTCGCATTAAAAAGATCAAAATAATTGTCTAAGCTCTCTTTTTTTTTTTTTTTTTTTCTCATCGGTAATACTTTAGACATTGGGATTAGATACCGTGATTGAAACACGATATTATCGGTATTTTCTATTCATAAAGTTGGAACAATCTCTTGTAATTGGCTTCTAAGCCTCTCTCATTGCATCCAAATAATGAAAAAAAGTTTTTAGTGTTTTTTTTTTTTTTTTAAAAGAAATAGCTATAGCTTCATATGTGTCGTGCTTCATTCACTTAAAAACGGATTGACAAAATCGAAATAATTGAACGAAAGTGATATTCTTTTTATTTCAAAAAATAAACCATATTATTGTACTGTTTTAGTACAACAAAGTAGATTATTTTTTGAAAACGGAGCACCATATTTGCTTTCACATTTGACTCCCTCATTTAAACTTTAACACAAGTGCATATCACCATCGTTTATTCCTCATTTCACAGGAAGACATCACTGTTACTTTGCTTAATTGCTGCTTACTGTTACTTATACATTTATCCTTAAAGTAATTGGGCTAGGAGAACTAATCATCAACCAATTAAGTTACAAAGCGATGATGCAATCCAGCACCAAAATCGATCAAATTGTTTGGAATCATTCCTTTGTTCTTAGCCCCGTATAGAGAGGAAGGTGTCATTTCGTCGTTGGAAATTGATTCATCCTGCGCCACCACTCAACCCTTACGCGTTATGCATTAGTGCATGCATGTATACAACCGGTAAAACAGTACTACTACTACTATTCATTCATTCATTCAAAAAAAAAATAAAAAATACTACTACTACTTTGTTGATCGTTGTACCACTTCCATACAAAAAGTCTCCGAGTTTGAGCGTCACAACTAACAAGTATTGAATAATTTTAATAAATTTTTTTTAATGGTTGAGCTTAGATTAGATTAGAAATTTAGAACAAGTCTTGCGCGCTTCCAATTCTTTTATTTTAATAAAATTGAAAAAAAAAGGAACTAGTTGAGCATTATTATTATTTTTTTTTTGGCCGTATGATCGGTAATGGTTGGAGATTATAAATATAAGTTGTTGAGTAGTGTGAACCTTGCTATCTTTCAAAACAATTAAGCACATTAAATCTGAAAAGCGACCTTGACTTTATCGGATTCTTGGGGAGAGTAGAATGTTTATAAGCTGTCACATGGAGTATGAAGGTTTTTTTTTTTTTGGTTGAAGTTCAATTACACCATAATTAACTAATCAATTAATAATTATTTTAGTATTAAATTAATTATTATTGTAATTAATGACTTTGTGGGCGGTTTTATGTCCATTAATAGGATGTCCACTCCACTAAAGACTTTTTCCTTAGTTGGCCTTAGTACTAGATTAGCGTACATCTCAAAGTCTAATGAAACTAGACCGAATGTGTGTTCATATGCACTCTCTATTAACTTATTTAATTCATAGTTATGTTCCAATGTAACAAAATTAAAGAAGCTTATCATTTGCCATTACCATATTCAATCAGTCACTTTCAATTACTACTTTCTCTTTTGTTTTTTGTTTTTTTTTGTTCTTCTCAAACGACAAAAAGAAAAAGGGAGGAAACTAAAAAGTAAAGAACACAATCGGTCGATATTTCATGTATATGCTTCGATAGTGTTACGTGGGTTAATTCACTCATCGACATTGTACTCAAACGTGTATGTTAGCACTATACCCATAAATTATTTTTGATAACGTGGTATCCTGCATAGATAACACCGAGGACGAAGCTTTGAAACCAAAAAAAAAAAAGGCAGAGCACTGTGAGCTCTTACATATAAAGTTTAAATAGTATTATCATTTTCGTCTCGTAATAAAATTGTTGTACTTAAAGAGTAAATTGTGTTAAAAATTAAAACAGGATAATTGTATTGAAGGGAAAGACAAATGATATTGAATAGGCTCCAGCAAATTGTTTGAAACCCACACTAGCAAGTGCCTAGGTCAACAAGCAAGCCAGTGAAAAAAGTTACTAACCGGAAGGAGGGAAGATTTCAACAATATGGGGAAATTTGGTAAATATACGTTAGAAACTTCTATGAAAAGGAGGTTTCTTACAAAATAAATTTATTTTTAATTACTCAAAGTAGATTAAACATCGATCTATGTCATCGAAGAGGTTAAAATAGTGATGTTTTCTTCTCATGCTTAATTTCTTTGCTTTACCGAATTGAATTACGTTCATTAATTTGTTTCTTAATTACGTGGGAGCTAGAAAGCACAAATTACGAATTTTTTCAGTTATTGGTTTATGAATGTTCTGTAACATAATGAAATTATTCAAATAAAATGTATAGAGGAATATGACTGTACATATATATATATATATATATTTCCAATTATCAATATATATATATATATATAGCACTAACAAACTAACCAAATCGAAGTCTATTTGTACCTATAATATTAATCTTTTTGACTCAAAATGATTTCAATGTTTATATTTTTATTTTGCAATTTATATTATATTAAAAATAAAATTTTAAATCAAACAATTATTTCAGAAGTACATTATACCAGCACCAAAAGAGTTACAACAGTTAGTTGACAAAGAGACAAAAAACGATCATATACAATCCCCACAAGGTACCCTTCATTGACACAGTCATTTGTGGATTAAAATATATGTTAACACAAAGTAGAATGAAGTTAAATACGAAGGAATCTTGGAAGCCAAGATTCTCGTGGATCGGCATATCTTATTAATAATAATAATCAATACGATGGATGATTCTTGGCAAAGGAGATAATAAGCTAAACAAGTAGAGAATATACTTGACCAATGAATTCGCAGGTTCATGCATCTTTCTTTTTCCTAAGATGTTTGATGTTTTTAATAATATACTTGAAAGAGATTTAAAGATGCATATGCTTCAAATGCTTAAGAATATTCCAAGTGGAAGTCTTTGAAAATGGCCATTATTTCATGCATTATGACAAAATTTGTTGTCCTTTGTTACGTTCAGCTGTTTGCATCA